GGGGGCGGGGGCGGGGCCCGGGGCCCGAGACCGGAAGAAGGACTGCGGGGCAGACGGCTGGCGGGAGCGCTAGTGGGTGTCCCGCGATGGCTGCGCGTAGCCGGGGCGCTGAGCTGGGTAAGGGCCGCACTCCCCTCTCCTCCGCCCCGCCGCGTGGCGAGGTTTCCGGGTCACCTGGGACTCGGTGCTGGCCCTTGGGACTCGCTCCCCCGGCGCTGGGCACCGAGCCTCGCTTTTCTCAGCGGAAGTACGGAAGGGATGGCTCCATGTCCTGGGACCTTTCACTCCAGCTCTGGTCAAGAAGGCAGCAAAACCCCAGGGAAGGCCAGCTGGACCTGACAGCACGTGTGCGGTTAGTGCCGGGTTCCAGCAGATGCTTTTAACGCAGTGCGGTGCTGCTGGCAAAGTTGTCAGGGCTCCTGCTGAAAGTCTGACCTTGGACATGGTGATTTTACATGTTTACACCAGTTTGCAGAAATGCCTCCCTTTTTTGCCACTTTTCATCTTACTGATATCTAAATATTACTGGACAAGGAACTTAATTCGTATTTCCCAAAATGTGAAAAATATGTAATTCAGACGTGCACAAACGGAAAGGCGCCAAAGCCTAGTGACTTAAGTTGATATACTAGCTCGAGTGTCTTTATATCCTGGACTTTAGTCGTGTGATTTGGACACATTACTTTCTGCTTGTGGTTCTTTATCTGTAAAACAGTCATTGTAAGTGTAATTATCTCTGAAGGTGGTTTGGTTACTGGAAGGATACAAGCAAAGGGTCGAGTAGATTCTTGGGACTTAGTATTGGATAAGTAACTGGAATTAAGTCTGTGTAGAAACTTCTGTTGTAGGGGCTGATTTTGAGAAAATTAGCTATAAATCCTGGGTAACACACATTATTACTTTTTTCCCTGTAAAGTGCCTTGTTCTATTAATAATTAAGCAGTCTAGACTTAAAGAGTGTTTGGAATCTTTACTGAATTGTGCAGTGATAAGCCTGTCATTTCCTTACTGACTTTGTTCCATTTTAGCCACTGTCCTTCAGCAAGCGATGGTGTAAATTTTTTGTTTTTTGATTTTATTTATTTATTTTTTTTGAGACAAGGTCTCCCTGTAGCTCCAGCTGGTCTGGAACTGGTTATGTAGACCAGGCTGACCTTGATCACACAGAAATCCTCCTACCTTTGCCTCCCGGGTGCTGGGAGTAAGCATGCACATCTGGTGTTTTAAACTTTAGTTCAGTCTCTGAAATGTAAACTTTAGCAATGGGCGAGTATACCCTACAGTGGAAGATCCTTGACAATAGGGGCTGGGATTAAAGATGGGGTGTCATGTCTTAGCTTGGTAGCTCAATGGGTGTGCCTGTGACACCCATCATTTTCCCCAACATAAAGGTTTCAGAATTTTCTTTCTAGAAATTCAATTAAAGTATTTAAAAAAATTTATTTTTATTTTTTGTGTGTAAAAAATTTATTTTATTTTAAATTATGTGTATGTATGTGTGTCCTTGTGTGAATATGTGCATGTGAGTGCAGGTGCTTTGGGAAGCCAGAGGCGTCAGATCCCCTGGAACTGGAGTTACAGGGGATCGTGAATTACCTGATGTGGGTGCTGGGAACTGAACTCAGATCCTCTGGAAGAGCAGCATGTGTTCCTAACCACAGAGCCATCTCTACAGCCCCCATTTTTACTTTCTTAATGTGCAAAAATTAGAATCACTTTCAGACTGGCTGCTGTGGAACACACCTGTAATCCCCAACCTGGGGTGGTCCAGGCTAGCCTTCTCTCACAGAACTTTTCTCAAAAAGCCATTAAAAAAAATCACTAATATTCATTTGTTGAAACATAAGTTTAGACAGAAACAGTTGCTATTTAGAGCAATAATAAATGTGACCCTAAGCTCTATTTAAAGGTTACAGCTTTCTTATTCTCAGTGTTAAAATCAGATGTATTGGCTTGGTGTGATGGCACACGCCTGTAATCCCAGGACTCAGGAGGCAGAGGCAAGCCACTCTCTGTATTCAAGACCAGCCTGGTCTCAAAAAGACCCTGTCTCAAAAAGACAAAAAAAAAAAAAAAGGAAGAAAAATCAGATGTACTGCAAGAGTTCTTAACTTCATTGACGTGAACCTGTAGTTCACAGGGCCTTATTCGAAACTGCTAAAGTAAGTGATGTGAGTAATGTTTGTACTAGGGAAAAGTGATTCAGTATTAATTTATACATTGTATTGATGACTTTTATACTTTTTTGTGAATTGAAAACACACACACATTTATTTTGAGACAGAGTTTCAGTATGTATCCCTGGTTGGTCTGCAACTCACTATGGAGACCAGGCTGACCTTGAACTCAACAGAGATCCATCTCCCTCCCAAGTGCTGAGATTAAAGTTGTGTGTCATTACACCCAGCCAACTCCTTAATAATTTCATTGAACATTGTAGTTTTTAAAAGAAAAGTAACTTTGGGGCTGGAGAGATGGCTCAGTGGTTAAGAACACTGGTTGTTCTTGCAGAAGACCCAGGTTTGAATCCCAGCACCCACATGGCAACTAACAACTGTGTGTAACTCCAGTTCCAGGGGATCCAACAGCCTCTTCTGTCTTCTTTGGGTATTGCATGACATGGGTGTACTTACCTACACACAGGCAATACACTCATACACATAAAATAAAAACAATAAGTAAAATATTTTTTTTAAAAAAGAAAGTAACTTTTTAAAAGAGAAATTATAATAAAAAAGTTTAGATAGTGCAGCCAGCAGCAGAAAGATGGCTGAATGCATTACTAGTCCAGTCAGTTATTGGTAACGTTTGACCTTGCTGTACATGCTTTTAGTGTGTAGACCTTTTTTTAATCCTTCTGGTACTGGGGATCCAAGCCAGGTCCTCACATATGCTATGTCAGTTCTTTTCACTCAGTTTGTAGATTTTTTGTTGTTGTTGTTTTTTTGGTCGTTTTGAGGCAGGGTCTCCCTGTGGAGTGACCTGTAACTTACTATGTAGACCAGACCTGCCTCAAACACACAGAGATCCTCTTGCCTCTGCCTCCCAAGTGCTGTGATTAAAAGCATGCATCACTATGCCTGGGTAGACCTGTTTTTAAACACTACCTGTATTCACTGTGGGGTGTGTGTGTGTGTGTGTGTGTGTGTGTGTGTGTGTGAACAGCATGTGCAGGAGTCATTTCTCTCTGTGGTACCTGGGAATGGAACTCGGATGGTAAGGCTTGATGTAAGCACTTTTGCCCACTGAGCCATCTTGCCAGCCCTAGCCCTATATTTCTGATGAAAACCCTGCAAGGAACACAGTCTTACAGCATTTGGATGTGGAAAATTTTCCAGATAGGAAATTGACCCTCTGATTGTCCTAAAAGATGATGGAGGTCCAGAAATCTGAGGGTTGCCACATCCTGCAGGGGGTTCTGAAGCACACCAGAGAAGTACTGTGCCTACGCTCTCTGCAGCTCCAGGCCGTGCCTGAGTTACTGTGTCTCCTCTGGGGCCTATCAAGATGAGTGTGTGTTCTTCCTCTTCTGGACTTCTCTGGTTTTTTGCTTATATGAGGAGCCACCCTGAGTTTGGTTTGGTTTTTGTTCTTTGAGTATTCTAGACACTTGGGATCGTTCAGTAATACAGAAGGCTCAAAATACCTGGTGAATGAAAGAATGAATTTTTCAGAATTAAAGATTTGATTATTTTTAAGAGTATTAAGTGTTGGCCTGTATGTATTTATGTGTACCATGTGCATGCACTGCCTTTGGAGGCCAGAAGAGGGCATTAGATTCCCAGGAACTGGAGTTATGGATGGTTGTGCGTCACCATGTGGGTGCTTGGAACATAACCTGTTCTGCAAGAGCAGCCAGTGCTCTTAACTCCTGACCCATCTCTCCAGCCCCTACCTCTTCAGTTTTGTGACTTTTGTCTCTACTGGTGTCTTGTGCTTATGAAGGGTGTAGGCAGTAGTTTCTTTTCCAATGCGTTTATCTTTGGAAAGATCTGAAAAATGGGGATTTTGGATTATGTTACATTTTGGCATCCATCCTCTTTATATCATTCTGTATAGCTGTTAAATCTTGTATACAAAAGGAAACATTTCAAACAGATCTGTCATCGAGAGGTGATGGGAACAGCCTGAGGAATTCCTGTTAACAGGAGATTGAGGGACAGCTCCACAACTGGAATCATCAGAGACCATGGTTATTGGTGATGTAAAGACTATTTTGACCAGGTGTAGTGGCACACACCTTAATCCCAGCATTTGGGAGGCAAAGGCAGGTGGATCTCCGTGAGTTCAAGGCCAGCCTGGTCTACATAGTTCCAGGCCAACCAGGGCTACATAGTGAGACTTTGTTTCAAAAAAAGAGATTATTTTGCTCTGTACGTGTAGAGGTTTTTATAAGTGTGCACACGTGTACATGTGTATGTGTACATGTTTGTGTGTGGAGTTCAGGTCAACGTGGAGTGTCTTCTTTAGTCACACTCCACACTCCAATGAGAGTGTCTTCTTGAACCTGGAGCTAGACTGGATTGCCAGGGACCCCCCACCCCCCACCAAGGATCCTCGTTCTTCTGCCTCTGCTGTACTGGGGTTACAGGAAAAGGTCATTGTGCCAGAATTGGTAGTGGGGATCAAAGTCAGGTCCTCACTTTACCACCTAGAGGTCTCCACAGCCCCTAGATGCAGTTTTAATAACTCAAGTCAGAGTTAAAAGTATGCATAATGGAGGTCAGCTTGCATTGCTTGCTAAGCCAAGGACCATCGTGAGAGTTTTTAAAAAGCTCATTCAGTCAACAAGTAGTTATGTATGTTGACTATTTGTGGAAAGTATTCAGTTAGGCTCTGGGGATTCGAGATAGCTAATGATGGTCCCTACCTGCACAGAGCTAGGTCTCATGCAGAACCCAGTATGAAGCCAAAGCTGTTATTAATATGATTTCCATTGAGTATGGTGATTGGGTATGGTGAGGAAGAAGTTGAAGGCCAGCCTGAGCTACTTGGTGAGACCCTACCTGAAAAACTGAAAACAGACCAACTTTTAATAAAGACTGCAAATATGATACTGTTATCTCCATTTATCTTTGTGCATTTTTTATGTTAAATACGTATATCTAGACTAAATT